GTAAAGATTTATTAACCCCAAAACACGACGACGACCCTAGTAGAAAATACACTCATTTATATATTGATTGTACACCCATTTTCATTAATAATTAGGATGAAATCACATATAGGAAAAATACCTAGAGTTATAACAAATCACATACTGAGCATATTTCATGTCAATGGGATACAAGAATATCGTATATTATATGGAATAAAATATCATGCGAGAAGAGAAAAAAATACTACATTAAGTAATCATTACATTGAATCAAAACGGAAGTAATCTTGAACAAAATTCATAATGAGTAAGTCAGTCGAAAATTGACTTTTCTTTCCATCATATCAGAGTCAACATAGGTAACTAGGATTAAAGTTTTCATCTGTTGTAATTCACGAACGAATGAATAAATTTTGAGCACAAATTTCGGAGGTATTATCTTAAGTCTAGTTGGTTTGTCTCTATAGTCTTATTCCACACAGTAAATCATAATATCATTAAGCCTATAATGAATTGAAATTTATGCACTGAATTTAATTAAGATCACAATAACTTTGGAATCAAACTAGTACATTGTAATCCAACAGGTTCTCACATAACTGTTCTCAGTCATAGATACATAAATAAATAGATATCAATAGATGGCATAAATAACTTATGTTGGTTATTTTTTCATGATATGTCATCAGTCAGTCAGCTACAACGTAGAACTAGGCACATATATGCATCGGTCCAAGTTGCCGTACTTCATTAACGCAATAAGATGAATACCGGGTTCATAAAAGTCGTTAATTCAGTGGTAATATATAAAACAAAGATTGCATATAAGGATATAGTACAGGAATAAAGAATTAGTTCGTAGAAAGAAAGATATGAAGCGATTTTGGTCTCTTAGTTTAAGGGAAGACAGAGAGTGTATATACCGACGCCATTGTGATCGATTCTGAGCCATGTCACCAAGATTCTCCAACCATTGGTTACGATAGTCACGCGGACACCAATGATATGTCATAAATAATATTATACACATTCAGATTGAAATAAACAATAATAAAAAAATAAGTCACTACAAATTGTGCTGTCAAGATAGTTGGTTTTGTTACGAAACGATGAGAGCTTCAGTGATGTTATTCTATAGTATTTTAAAATTATTACATAATTCCTCACTACTTGTAGTGGACATGATCCATTTATGTGTTGAAAAAATACATTTGCTACCATGTTTCTTGTATGTCACTTTGGTGGACTAAAATATATCAATCTCAATAATAATGAAAAAGTTATTACGAAAGAAAATTACTGTGTTAATATACTAAATATAAATACGATACATAAGGGAAATATACGGGACGTTACTTAAATTGTCAGTAGTATGTATGTACTTAATATTAAAATAATGACATCATTTGTAGTAACTACTTGAGGAAGATCAATGAGATAATCTTTGAACGTAAGTCGACCTACACTAATCAAGTTATTCGTGAGATATGGTACTTAAAATCTTCATTTCTCAAACATCAACAACAAAATCTTAAATATTCCACACTATTGAACCCAACAGTGAGATTGTATCTTCCTATAGTTTGTATAATTACTGTCCAAATTCATTTAATACGTTAAAGTTAGTAAAGGGTAAATATGTGCATCATAACCCACAGTTATAATAACTATTGAAGACTGCAACTTGAAATACCTTTTACTGAATTTTTACACTGAATATGAACACTTTTTTTTACCATTTCTCTTTTGTACCAATATGATTGCGATGCCGCTCTGGCTACGTTCTTTTAAGTGTTTGCTCATTACTGTAGATTCAGTGCATACCTCACACAATTTCGATACACACATTACAATCTGAGTAATTTAATCAAATACCTGCTTACCGTTAGTCTAATCACGGAGAACAATGTTTTTCGATTTATTTGTATTTGAGTGGTAATAGTTAACTTATCTGTTTCTTTATAGTAGTTGGTTGGGCATTTTGAGTCAGCAAGATTATGATCAAGTGTTAGTTTTACGTTAACAATTGGAGTTCGTTAAGTTAAATCTGGATATGAATGATAATTTAAATTAGTTATTTGAGACATCATTTTCTCCAAGTGGATGTTTATTTTTTTTTAATATGTCAGTGAACGCCAATTTACAAGGTCTATGCCTTTTCGTTTCTATTGAGCGTGGTTTTTTGTTTGTTCATCGTCGGCTAAGTAGGCATTACTTATTTTATATGTTAATGTGAGATACGTTTCAGCCCTGTTCTTTGCATTCTTCGTGTTATGATATAAACCATGAAATTAAAATTGCAGGATAAGATAAATAAGAACACTGACGTTACCATCGATAATGCTTTCATGGAACTCAAGAAATACTCATTAAGAAACTATTTTTTTATTATTCGCATATAACTGATTTACTAGGAATCGACTCATGTACTTGGCTTCCAGCTACACTAAATGTGAAACCTATTGAAACTACCTGTTTATCTAAAGTGAAGTTGATGGGAAAATGTCCGATCCGTTGCTTTGTGACCGAAAGTTGGACACCCTAACCACTGAGCTGCATATACATCAATCATGTATTATTTATCGTTGTTCTTAATCCCGTAGTTTTATATAACTCAATATTTTTTATTTAGTTGGTGAAACTTTATTGGTTGACATCAAGTCTGTTTGAACGTTATGGATAATAATTTAAAACCATTCCATGGATAAAAACTAATATAACTCAATCACATGCTTGCAACTACCCTATCGTAAACTATTGAATATGTCAATGAAAACCGACTCTAATTGAGATTTTATCCATATAGTCTTGTTGATAAAGTTACCAGTAGCTAATAACTAACTGTAGCGAATTGTTTAGCACTATATTGATTGACTAGTATAATTTTAATTGCACTTATTGAAAAGCGAGAGAAATTTTGATGTAGAACATGTCAAATGTTGGGATAATGTATTGATGAAATAATAAACCAATCAAAATGATATTTTTTGGGGAAAAAAGGGATACATAGGAAATCAATAAATATATTCGTGAAATCGAATAAGGAAATATGCATTCTATCCACATTATCTTAATCACCATGTTACAAACTTCGATAGATTTGTTCAGTTGTAAAAATTGGTCAATATAAACATTGTTCATGTTCACTGATCGAGAATATTTTTGTATTCTGTTTGTTCACCTTTCAGGCTGAAACTGTCAGTAAAGTTAATAACGTTTCCATTGAAAAAAGTGAATACTTACAATATGTTTATATTCATATACAACCTAAATGTTGATATATAATTACAGGTAAAAATGAATTTCAATGTATGCGAATATGTCCGTACATGTAATTGTGAAGGAATGCGTTTCAAACATGTAACATTATTTTCAAGTGGCTTAGTCCATTGAACACCTCTATGTAGTAAAAAAAGTTTGAATATGCATCATTCCGAATTTCGTTTTCCATTACTCTTGCGTAAATAGTAACTAGAGATTGACTAAATGATCAGCTGTCACAAATAGTAAGCCCTTACCAGCAGAAGCAGTAATGTTCGTTAACTTAAATAATTACCTTTCAAAGAAGCTTCGATACATTGGTGTTAAATAGCAAGTGACGGATGAGATGGCCAATTAGTTTCATGGTGGTTGATAATCATTAGCAAATTGTGTCTGCGATCTCAAAAGAACTAATACTCCCTATGGGATATTCACCCAAGTCACACAGTGTCCCAATCAGAGACATAATCATTGTTCGACATCAAATCGTTTAGACTAGTGTTCACACTGGAACTTGGTCAATAAATTTTGATCAGTATTAAAGACTACACAAATATAATACTGATTAGTACTTATTGATCAATCGACAGTTTATTAATTCAAGAATTTTCCATTAGGTTTTTGATTGAGATCATGAACCGATTGATGTTAGACCACCACAATTGAAAACCTGGAAGCACCGGACGGCCGTTTCGTACTATTGTGGGACTCCTCAGCAGTGCGCACCCACGATCCCGCTCGCAGGATTCCTAGAATTAGAGTTTTATACTTCTTTAAACGTTCCTTTAGCAACAAACATTAGAATAATGTGACTGAAAATCTTTTGAAGCTTGACCAATGTAGATGAAGTTCTTTTCTATTGAATTGTGAATAATCTGTCTAACACAACAACGAAAGTCTACAAATAAATGCTACTGACGAAATTAATTATCTTAGTATTAATTCTGATTACTAAAAGTATTGGTACTACGAAACAACACAGACTTGTCAGCACTCAAAGGAGCACATATTTACAAACTTTTATATGGTCGGATAATCTACAGACATAAAGATCTTGTAACAAGAAAGATACTTTTTTTATACCATAATATTTTCGATATTCAGTCCGTTCAGGATGAATTATAACCAATATGAAATGAAATGGGCGAATATCTATCGTATTCGCTTTAATTAATAGTCTAAAAATGAATTTTCTGTTTGATTTCGAAGATTTAATCAGTCTACAACGAATATTATTAAGCACTCTAGAGTTTGTAATAGCTAATAGAAAAGAACATCAACTGATACATCACTGAAGCAGTATATAACATACTTAGTGACGGTCATTGTGATCAGGATATTTTCGGTAATTCAAATGAATCTTTTCCAGTTTTTAGTAGGCTTACATGATCTTACCATTAGTTATCATTAATTATGATCACTACAGAAGATTATGTTTATTTGGAAGTTTTCCCCATCCTATTGAATGACATGATCTAACTACTCCAATGGAATTTTAACACTGGAAACCAAATCCACATTATATATAGAATGATTTCATTCTGTTTTGTTTAAAATACCCTAAACAAGTTTAGTTAAACAAATACACTCGAATTTAAACCACCATTTTTGATTACTCAAAGACTACTAGATACTTGATGGTAGAATCTTTTCACGTGATACATTCAGCAAATACTCAAATTCTAACGTCATTTGAATTTTACATCTTTTTACACTAAGTTGGCGATAACATCATTCCCTGAAGAAGAACATATTCTGTAGAACATTAAATTTATTTAAAATACTAATTTCAAATGCGTTGCATAAAAAATAATGTCAACAATCCATAGAATTGAGCTCATTATTAGTTTACACAAATAAATAGATTGTGTAATTCACAAATTACAAATAAAGATATAAATGAGTAAACTAGGCACAATTTTTGTAAAATAAAAAAAGCATATAAATATATTCTTTGCAGAAAAAAAAACAACCAATGCAGCTTGAATAAATAGTGTCTGCTACCTGTACTATCCCCAAAAGGCAATAAAATTTCCTTGGTATTGGAAATGATTGGGAATAAATAAATACAAACAAGTCAAAGCATATTAAAAGCAACAAAGAGTTAGGATTTGAAAAGATAAAAAGTTTCTTTACTGATGACCATAAACATCATTTTAACTGCTTTAGTGCTGTTAGTAGACTTTCCGGTTTAGGTGATGAGGCAACCGCTGAAACAGTCAAACCTAATTCTTTTAATTGTGTTGCTGTTGCGCGTCCCATAGCAACCAACTGATTGACAGAGAAAGTCAGGGCAAAATAAGTAATTATTAATAAAACCCGATGAAATTTAAAACTTTTACATAGAATCATACAATTTATTGGAGGTCATATACAATTTCTAGGACAACCTAGATCAATATGCACTAATATCAGATAATGACCAAGTCCTAACTGATGTAATTTTGTATAATGTTATAGTATACTCTTTTAGTGTGACGTTTAATAGGACTACTTGACCATTTAAGTCTAAGTGAGCACAGGAAAGTTTATGGACGAGGCCTATGGAACGAAGTTTAGGCTATAATTACTATATTTTTAACGATCGTCACATTTGATTCTTTCACAACTACGTTTTTTATCAGCTGGACATTAAGCCTGAGCTGTATACATCAAGTGTAGTTCGGTTGACCACATATACCTATATCTTATGATAAGTTATGTCTACTTAAAACTATTTATAGTATTATTCGCATACCTAAATTAGTGAACCAAAGCTGAAATGGTGGTGAAAGCAAAAAGAAGCTGGACTGCAGTCGCCTTCTTATCATTATTATGATATAAGACCGGAGAGTAAAAGGCGATCACAAATCCTGGCTCGCTTAGTAATCTTGAGATCACTGATTTGAACAAGATTTCCACTAACTTACGTGATCGTATCGTTATAATAGCTGAGTTTGATGACACTCTAGATCACTTGAATACCGAGCAGAAACTACATCTAACGACAAAATGAAACACAGGAGTTTTCTAGTTTGCGTGTTTTCTGACAGTTCATCATTGTATTATTTTCATGAGCTCGAAAAATATTCCTCCTTATAAAACAGCACCAAACATTCGTGCAACAGCCAATCAACAATCATCTATCGCGAAATATGGAAGTTCCATAACACAGTTGTGCATTTCTTAATAATTTGATTGATTCATTACTTAAACTGTTATGAATTTTGAATACTTCCCCTAAGTCTTCAAGATTCATTGCTATCAGAATAGATTTCTATGAGAACAAAAGTAATTTTGCTTGCTCCAGTTTATCTTTTTTCGTAACTAGCCACTTTAACCTCTAAACACACTGCAAAAATCTTCAAGATGTTATTGTGTTACAGGCTAACTAATCTTCAGACGTTTTGTTCGATATGATATGAAAGAAAACCTGAAACCTCATCGGTAACCCTATTTAGCCCATTTTCCATGATCAATAAAATAAAATAAAAATGTCTCAAATTTAGCATATTAGTGCTAAGTAAACCAAAATAAATAGTTTATGTATCTCATAAGATGAGAGAATAGATCTACGAATCTACGAAAATTATTTTCAGCCTCATCACAATGTAGTAATGAACATGTTAGAAAGTGATGACGCTAAACACAAACTAAATATGTATAAAGACCAGATAAGATAAACTTCAAGTTTTGATTTAGTAAAAGAGAAAAAACTGCTAGTATGTCTCCATAAAGTTGGTGTGTTATGGTGTATGGTATTTGATGTCAGTTTACAATGAGAACTAGCTTCCATATACTATTTGTTTGTCATGATGTAGTTATTTCCAATAATCCTCATGGATAAACCAGGGCTAAAATTTAACTGGTTAGATGAAAATGTAAGTTCAGAAACTTTATATAGAAACGGTACGGACACCTTCTCAAGTGAAATAAGTTGAGGATATAGAAAAAACATACACTTACTTTAATATTCGGTCGGTGTGGTTTAATTTCGGTTAATAATATTTTTTCAGTCAATGAAACGCCAGAGGGACTGAAAAATACTAAACATTCAGGAATAGGATTTCCTTCCTAGAAAAAGATACAAACACTAACAAATTATTTTTATAATTATAGGCTTCAATATCGTACAACAGAACAATCAATTACAAACAATTAGTACCAAATATTTGCAAATCCATCTATATGCCTTACTGATATTTTTTTCGATTATTAATGTTGCTAATTGGTACTGATGACCTTCAACTAAGATTATTTAGTAGTACAAATCTTCAAAGAGTATGTTCAAAATTACTTTCCAATTTGAACATACCACATAGCTTAAACATTCTTGTTTCTGAAAGATACCTGAGCTAACATTCTGCAAGTAAATTGTACCTGATTGTCCTATTCTCATTTCAAACCATGAACTTTGGAAATATTAGATTTTGTATGAAAATTTTGCAACTTAGTTCTTCTGTTACCTTATCCATGGTCAAGCTTTATGTACTTCTATGGTACGCTTTTCAATGACAAACGTTGCCGAAAAACCTTTCGGTCAACAGGTAGTTAGTACTTACCATTAGGATTCAGTCCAAAAGTCAATGACTTCACTAACTGATTCCAGCCAGTCTGTTTTCGTTTATAATTTGCTGAGAAGAGCCTGTAACTAAACTCAGCTGTTGTATAAACTACTGACTTACGATTGGTGTACTAAGGTACACAAGGCGCATTTGCAGTGAACAGAACGTGGCTTTGGTTGCACTTTCCGAAAGGAATTATTTGGTTAGCTGTAGAATGAACAATGTGAATAATCCAAAGATGCTATGCTGTGAAGCAAGCAAAAATACACAATTAAATCCAGAAAATACTGCTAAACCTAGCCAGAAAATCAGATGTCACTTTGAGGGGAATTAATTTTTTTTTGAAAGTTATTGTTGCAATGCCTGAAAACAGAGAACTTACACATAAATTCAATCGCAGTTTTTCATGAAGTTGAGTATTTTCTACAGAAGAATAGGCCACAACGGTATTTACTTTTTTTCCTGTATTTCAAGAATATTAAGTTATTATACAGAAACCTTCATTTTCCAAAACTTTCGGTAGTGTGTCGCGGTGTACTTGCCCAGATGGGAAAAATATAGGTTTATCCAATTCTGTAAAATGATTTGTGTGTAATGAGTGGAAGAAACTAGGTTATCTACAGATTACTTGAGGCAAAGTGCTTCAAAATAAAACTAGCGAGCTTCTCCGCATCACCAGAATCAGCTCCCTTAGGCGAAAATCCAGCTTTTTTAGCTATAAAACGATTTTATTAATATATATAACTATGGGATTTATTACCTTGTAACTCAGTGCTAGGACCAACAACGAAACAAAGGTCATTTTCATTACCTATCATTTACCAAAAGGTGTCATAAAAAAGTACACTGACCTGTTAGTCCAGCTTTAACACATGCGATAACGGAACGTGGGCTACTAAAAATAATGCAACTGTGATTGTTCCTCCAATTTTTGTATTCCGCTAGATTTGATATGTTATACTCGAAATCAAGAGTTTCCAGTAAGTCTACGCTGAAACCTGAGTTTTTTAATATCTAATTTTTCAAAATGGTGGACAAAGTAATCACAAAATTAACCTACCTGTACATAAGGGTCATCACCGATGCTAGTAGCATTATCACCAGCCGATTTAAGGAGAACTACGTACATTGATAGATAGAATACAAATTTTCTAGTAAAACAGAACAGAGGACAAAAACCAGGCTAAGGTACTGAGTAGCTATTTAGACACTCTGAAAGAGTAATAGATACTATCATACAGACCATTATACCAGAAAGTGAATTTTCTCACCATATATCTAACACATGATTAACAAGGTTGTAAAGTCGGACAAAGTCATGTTACTCGATTGTTGGAAGTACCTCATGTTCTATTTCCGAAAGGATTACTACTTTTTCATGATAAATATTTGGCCCGAAGAGTGTTTGCGTTAATTGTACAGCAATAAATAGGTTTCTTTTAGTGGTTTACCGCCGAGTTAGAAAAGATATAGAGATAATAACCACAAGCAAGCAAAAGCTATGAATAATCTCCAAACTTAATGAACATTTCTCCAGGATTGAAGATTTAGGATCATTCATCTAATTACGCATTACTACACCACACAAACAGTACGTCAATGAATAGCAAACAATGAGCGTCAACTTACAATTAGCTGACTTAAGGTTGTACTGACTCATCGATCGTTTTTGAGTAAAGGACTACTTTCTACACATAATTTAGAAGGAAATTAAAAACTAAAGTGCTATATATAGTACACCTTATTTTTGTCTATAGGCAAAATCCACACTCCATAACTTTCTAACTCTTAGTTATCGACTTAGTTAGGGTACTCAACATGTTTTTACCCCCTTGATTTGAGGAAATCCGGGGTTTTTGTGCCACTTTCTCGAAATAGGGAGATTGAGATAAGCAGCGTGTAGTTGAGTTTTTATGCAAGAACCCTCCGATTACTATTAAGACGCTAAAATAAGGTTTGCATGTTTCTGAAAATCAGCAATAATAAATCTACATAGCACTTATGTAAGAACTAGCAGTCCAAACTACGGAAACCCACTAACAGCTGAAAACAATAAAATAGCCGGCACTCCAGTCCTATGCAGGAAATATTAGCAACTGATGTACTAAAACAAATGCAAAATAATCTGACGTTTTATTCACTGTCTTTGCACTGAGTAGTTACTTCTCTGAACCTCTGTCGGTTTCTGCTAACATTATCAGTTTATATTTATTACAGTATTGAAAATAAGTAGCTTCCTAGACAGTTTCAGTTCGGTCAAGACAACATGTTTGTTGGCTCGTGTAAGTCCTCTGAGGTTGGTTAGTCAGTTAATTTACCTGTTTCTTGAACGGGTCAACAAATGGATCTTTAACTACGTGTTACGACAAAGAGTAACATTCGTTGATGATTCGATGGGACAGACGTTTGTCTGCCGGCAAATGATTTTTCAGGTTTCTAAAACTCTTGAGTGTCCTCACAAACTATTTAATTTGGAAAGCAAGAAAAATATTGTGTGCAGATATACAATATTTATGCTTTTTTAGATTTAAAAGCCGTTTCTAGCCCATGTAAAAGGCTTATCCTCTAAATACTTTAGTTCGAAATCTTATATTTGCATTGTACTTTGGGTCCAAATATATTTTTCCTTAAAGTGTTCACTTAAGGCATCTAGAAGCCGCTAACATCCGGTTTTTTTACATCTAAATTTTTTTTTCAAAGGCTCGAAACGAAAAAAATTATTATCTCACTTTTGTGCTATCCGCGATTAGCTGACTATTTGTAGTACAGCACAGTGCGGTATTGTACATTCGACAGTTAAATATGAACGTTAATAAAGAGACCAGACCGAATAATCTAACTACTGAATATTTCAGCTTAGATCAATACATATGCTCATTATTACAAAGTCCGCAGATAAAGTGCTTTCTGAAGGTGACAATTACTGTTGTCTACGGAGAATAGATTATCATGAGAAAATTTGAAAAAAACAGCAGAGAACCAGAACCTGTATTTGAAATCGACCCTGTTTTCACTTAACATCTTAAAAACCTTTTGTAGAAATACGGAGAAATGATACCACAAAGGCGGAGAAAGTTCTGATTACCAAGGTTTAGGTTGATGATGTCACAGGTATTCAGTATTTGACAACGCTTCTACCAGTAACACCTAATATATTTCGTTCCCACCCAGAGAAATCAAAAGACAGAGTCGAGGAGATCGGAAGAGTGTATTTGGCGATTACCAATATATCGGAATTCTCTGATCTAATCTGGCTAGCGATTGCGGTTGATGTTGAGCACGGCGTTACCACACGTGATCTGGTGCGGATGCCTGACCGAGCGCCTTCAGCTAGATGAGTCCACTAAAACATATGGTCAGCATCCAATGTCGAAAACTTACAGGGCTATTTATTTTGGGGATTTATTTACCGCTACAGATCACTCCCCCCCTAGTGGGGCAGTGACGACCCTAAGACGTGGCCAGCCAGAAGTTTAAACCCAACGAGTTTGTCGTTGGTAAACACTCTTCTGATAGCTTACTAAGTGTAGCAGCGTCTGGTCGTCTTTCCTTACTATATGGGACCGAGGTACAACATAGTAAAAAAAGAAAGAGTTACAACGAAAATTTCGACTCCTCGTAAACTGCATCGTTCTTTTCCAGCCGTCCTGGAAAAGAAAAAAGAAATGTAAGTGCATGTCGAAATACACTCGTATGTGCGTAAAAACACAATATCGGCGAAAAAATGGAAAATAAACTCAAGCACACGTAATAGCGTTAAAAAATAATTTTGTTTTTTCTTTGTTTTTTTAAAATAAAAATATAAACATATAGGCATATTAAAATTGTTTTTTTTAAATATTATATATTGTCAAAAGAAAAATCGAGATAATATAAAATGTCGAGTAGTATCTTACGTGCAGTAGTCGTTTAAATGTTCTGGAAATCTTACTCTTCTTCCAGAACGCGTCGTTTTAGGTTTATTTTCAGATACATTCGGAGTATCATCGCTAGTGTTGGTTGTCGGTTGAGGAATTATGAGTGTAGGAGTCGTGTTGTGCGATTGTACCGAAGGAAAATCGACGTGAATAGGATTTCCTTCTAAATACGCTGCTTTTAAGCGATCGATGCTGATGCTATCGTTGGTTCCGTTCTTATCGACTATATAGTACTTAGATTCACGTTGAAGAACTTTGAAAGGTCCTTCGTATGCTGATTCGAATGGTCGTCGATGCGAGTCTCGACGAATGAAAACGTGTGTACTATATCGTAAGTCAGGTTGAACGAAAACATCAGTTGATTGAGGTCGAGTGGAAGCAGGTTTAACTGAACGCATTGCGTTTGTAAGCCTGTTCGTGTAGGAGGTTAGATCCATGTTCATTGAAGAGGACGAAGGATCCACGAATTCTCCTGGAAGTCGAAGTGTCGTTCCATAAACGAGTTGAGCCGCAGTGTATCCAATGTCAGCTTTCACTGCATTGCGGATACCTAGTAAGACGAGTGGAAGAGCGTCGGTCCACTGTGAAACGTTTGCAGCTGATAGTGAAGCTTTCAGTTGTCGGTGAAAACGTTCTACCAACCCGTTTGCTTGTGGGTGGTAGGCGGTCGTTCGGAAGCGAGTGATTCCTAAAAGTGTGGTCAGACGACGGAAAAGATCAGATTCAAACTGACGTCCGCGGTCTGTAGTGATGGTTGAAGGGCAGCCGAAGTTTGCTACCCATCGTTCGACGAAGGTGCGGGCCACTGTTTCAGCAGTGATGTCCTTGATAGGTACTGCTTCTGGCCATCGAGTGAAACGGTCTACGCAGGTTAAGAGATAAGAGTATCCATTTGAATCTGGTAAAGGTCCTACCAAATCCAGATGAACATGGTCGAAACGAGCATCGGGAGTTTTAAACGAGCCTAAGGGACATTTATTGTGTCTGATAACCTTAGATTTTTGGCAGCTTACACAGGAGCGTGCCCACTCCCTCACGTCTTTATTCATGCCAGGCCAGCAAAATCGTTCTGCTATAAGCTTGATGGTTGCACGAACACCTGGATGAGAAAGTTTGTGCAATGTATTGAAGACATTGCGTCGATAATGTTTCGGCACGATTGGGCGATCCCTACCTGTAGATGTGTCACAAAGTAAGGTTTCCTTACCTGTTCCCATCTGTTTGATGCGTAGTTTAAGTGTTGTGGACGATAACTCGTGCTGAAGATCACTGTCTTCTTTTTGAAGCTCGGCGAGTTTAAGAAGGTCGATTCCTTGGAAACTGTTCAAGGAAGTTATGCGAGATAAAGCGTCTGCAACTACATTGTTTGCTCCAGAGATGTGTTGAATATCTGAAGTAAACTGCGAAATGTAGTCCAGTTGTCGAGACTCACGGGGAGAGTACTTGTCAGAAGGAGAGCTTAACGAGAAAGTGAGCGGTTTATGGTCCGTGAAAAGAGTGAATTCACGGCCTTCGATATAGTGTTGGAAATGCCGTACAGCACAATACATAGCTAGGAGTTCCCTACCGAATGTGCTGTACCTCGATTCGGTGTCTAGCAACCTTCTAGAGAAAAATGCCAAGGGTTGCCAGGAGTTGTTAACCCATTGTTGTAAGACTCCTCCGATTGCCGAGTCGGATGCGTCTACTGCGATGCTAATGGGTGCTTCGGTGTCCTGATGTGCGAGCATTGTTGCTTTAGCTACAAGTTCCTTAACTGTGGAGAATGCTTTTCGTGCGGTGTCGTCCAAATTAATGGATTTCGCATTTCCACGAAGTTGGTCGGTCAGAGGTTTCATAAGTAATGCGCATTTCGGTATGAAACGTCTATAGAAACTTACCAGGCCGTTGAACGTGCGTAATTGCTTGACGGTGGTCGGTTCTGGGTAATCCAGAATGGCCGCCACTTTGGTTCTAAGGGGTCGGATACCTTGAGCATCGATAGTGTGTCCCAGAAAGTCTAACGAGTCGGTTCCAAATTGGCATTTCTGAACGTTTACAGTTATGCCATGTTTTTGTAATCGTTCGAAAACAAGATCCAGATGCTTGAGATGTGTTTCTCTGTCCGGACTTGCGATTAGACAGTCGTCAACATACGCGTGTACGAAGTTGAGACCTCGAAAAACGTCGTCTATGAATCTTTGGAATGTTTGAGCAGCATTCCTTAGACCGAAAGGCATTCGCAAAAATTCATAGAGTCCGAAGGGAGTTATGATAGCTGTTTTCGGTATGTCGTCAGTAGCCATAGGGATTTGGTTATACGCTTTAACCAAGTCGATTTTCGAAAAGACAGTTGTACCTTTCAAGGTAGCTGTCAAATCGTGAATGTGAGGCAACGGGTAACGATCGGGAATGGTTTTCGCGTTCAATCGCCGATAGTCGCCAGTTGGACGCCAATCGTTGCTGTCCTTTTTAGGGACCATGTGCAACGGAGATGCATATGGGCTACTTGACGGTCGTATGATTCCTAAGTCCATCATGTGATCGAATTCGTTTTTCGCTAACCTTAGCTTTTCAGGAGCTAGTCGTCGTGCTTTAGAAAATACAGGTGGTCCTGTAGTCGTGATGTGATGTGTAACATTGCTGGTTACACACGGTAGTTTCGGTTGAGTTTGTTGTATCCCAGGGTACTTATCGAGTAGTGGTTGATAGAGTGGGTCTATCATATGCTTAACTGTGACTGGGGATACTCTACAACCAGTAAAAGAAGTTACGCAAACGGACAAATTAGTGTTTCCGTCTACTAGCCTCCGTTTGCGAGTGTCGATGATCAGATTGTGGTGTTGTAGAAGGTCCATACCAATGATTGGCATAGAAACATCTGCAACGACGAAAATCCAGTGGATGGGTTTGCGTAAACCCACGTTAAGGTAAACGTACCTTTTGCCATACGTAGCGATCGGTTTTCCGTTTGCCGCCTGTAAGTTTAGAGTCGATTCGTGAAGTCGGTCGTTAGGATTTGCGCCAGTGTCGACGAGGTAGCGAACTCTCGTTGTCACATCTGTGACGAATAACAGACGGCTTGTTCGCCGGCTACGGTTGCCGGCTTGGAAGTTTCCCGAATTGTTTTTCGAATCAGTCGGTTTCGTGTTGGGAAAATTGCAGGGTTTTCTGCAATTTCTGGAAAACTTTCCATACTGGTTATGATACCAGCACCAGTCGGGGTTATCTGTCTCTCGTGGTCTAGAGACAGATCGCTTACGAGAAATGCTTCTACGTGGTGTGCGCGATCTCTTACG